CAGCCCCGCCCCCAGCCGTTACCCACCCCCACCGACAGCACTCTATCAATTTTCCGTCTCCACAGATTTATTCCCCACCGCCCGCAGCCCACCACCCACGTCCTTGACAACCAAATTTCGGTCCTCCAGGATCCTTCCGCAGTATTCTCACCTCTCGGTGTTGTTCACGATCACTCCGCCGCCCTCCGAATGATTCTTGTTGAGCGCCATGGTCTCTCCGAAAGGGGTCCCGAGACTCGCAACGCAGTGCGCTTGCGCCCCTCTTCGGCCCGCCCCTAGTGGCGTCTTTCGTATTAGAGTCAGCCAATCACAGCTCCTGTGCGGAGGCCGGACCAACCACCTGATCCCGGGTGTCACGTGGTAATAGTTTACTCCCTCTCCCCTCCCCCCTAGTTCCGCCTGCATCACAAAGCAATTGAAGACTACAATTCCCAGGAGGCATTGCTCCCGCATCTTCGACCTCTTCCTCTGCTGGTTGAAGGTTGCATTCTGGAACTTGTAGTCTCTCCTAGGCCTGGAGCGTCTCCACTGTTTGCAGAACCAATAGGATTGTGCACGCCCCACCCCGCCTCCTCAGTGGGACCGGAATAAACAGTTTGGCTCCTCACAGGGGCGTAATCCTAAAGGGCCTTGGACGCTTACTGAGGAAGCCCACGCAGACACAGCCCGCGTGTGACACGCTGAGCAGTCAGTTAATGGGCGTCTTCACTCTCTCAGCAGACGTTTATGGTGCACTTCCTGCGTGACTCTGCCCCCAGACTTGGGAGTCACTGCAGCCTCATAGATGAGCCTGCGACCCAGTCTCTTCCAGGACGTGGTGTGCTGGCTGAGTCCGAATAAACTGCCATGCCTTTAACCAGACCTACCCTTGAGTCTCCAGGGTGGGCTGCGAGAATCTCCGAGTGGGGGGACCCACCACGTTCACTGTCAGTCTGGGAGGGCGCCCACCGCACCGCCGTTTCCAGCCCAGCTGTCCTCGCGGTGGCGCTGCTCCCTCTAGAATAGTCTGGTTTCGTAGTCCGCCCGCCCTGCTGGGTCCCCGCTGGAATATTTAAACAAGACTCGGAATAACCGAATGGAACTAGGCACAGTGAGAGACCCGCAGCCGGGCAACATTGGCTTGCAAAATAGGGCTGACTCATTTGAGCTCGTGACCCAGCGCTGGGCTTCGTCCAGCTAGCAGCTGCAGTTATCTGAACTCCCCCACCTCCCAGGTGAATCTTTTGAGAGGGAGGGTAGGGGCCTCACTTCCCACGTGGCAGTCCCTGGGGCCTTGTGAATCTTAAGGGATCAGAGTTTGTTTTTAATCACACAACCGATTTCCTGACATGTGGCCAACTTCGTGATCCACCTGTTTGACTTGGCTTTTGAGGGAGGTTTCCTATGTGAAGGAACAAAAACTGTCTCACTAGAAAAGATCATGAACCAGCCTTCTGTGAGGTCCTGCGCAAGACCACGTTGGACCTGGCAAGACAAGTGCAGTGAATTAAGGAAGGTCATAATGAAATCTGCTTCACATGATTAGATGAATTTTGGTACATGCGATCTGTGCAGCCTTTATCAAGAACTGAGTCAAACTGTACGTGTCGATAGGGAAAGATTGTCAAGGTTTTATTAAGGACAGAATGATGTGTAAATATACTTGCATTGGTATCAAAAATAAGATACAGATACAAAATTTCTGGAAAGATCCACCATAAAATGTTTGTGGCATTATCCCCTTGAGGCATGAGTCTGGAAATTTGGGCTTGGACTCAGTGTGGTGTGGATTGTACTCCTTTATACTGTTTAATTTTCTTTTTTTTTTTTAGGAGACAGGATCTTCCTCTGTCACCCAGGCTGGAGTACAGTGACACCATCCTAGCTCACAGCAGCCTCGAACTCCTGGGCTCAAGTGACCCTCTCACAGCTAGAACTATCGGGTGTGCCACACGCTCAGCTAATTTTTAAAAAAAAATTTTTTTGTAGAGATAAGGTCTCACTGTGTTGCCCAGGTTGGTCTCAAACTCCTGGCCTCAAGCAATCTTCCCACCTTGGCCTCCCAAAGTGCTGGGATTACAGGCATGAGCCACTGTTTAATTTTTTTATGGTATGCTTTTAAAATATTAATAATAAATTTCAAAAAGAAAGGGAAAATTCACCCAGCAATAGGTATGCAAGAATGGTTGCTATAAGGACCAGAATGGGAGGGTGGGGACAACTGTCCAGCCCCACCCCCACTCCTTTACTAAAGTAGGGAGGCAGAGGCAGATCCAGGTTTTTTGGGGCTTGAAGCTTATACAATTTTGGAGGCTTTTTATAAGAAATGAAATGCACAGTTATGCATACACAGTGTGGTGGCCACTCAGAGGCTTCCTGACAGGAGGGGAAATGTCATGAAGAGGAAGTCAAAGCGGAGAGAGATAGCAGGCTTAACCAATTCCGGCTAGAATGTCCAACATTTGCAAGTTTTATAAAAACATATGATCATGTGAACACATTGCTAGGGCTGCTCCCATGCCTTGGCAGGGGAACTGGTCATTTCCAGGACTCACACAAGGGCCTCAACGACAGTTCCTTGCTGAACGTGGTCGACAGTAAGAGGCCTCTGGGCCCAGGTCTCAGTACACAGACCTCTCCTCCTGCCTTGTACCCCGCTCTGCCCGTTTCTAGTAACGATCTCTTTTGCTGAGCTGTACTTGCTCGTGTTCTCCAGACCGGAGCTTCCCGAGTGGTGCAGGAAGAAGGGGCGCAGGTATGGCTGAGATAACCAGCCACGCAGGAGCCGGGAGGCTGAACCCCTGAACCGTCACCTCTTGGCTCCCAAGAAGATTCATCTGTTTGCCCCAGTGACCCAAACAAATATGATTCGTGCTGAACAGTGATTATTTTCTATGTGTGCCATGCCATTACAAAGATTGGCAGTTTACCAGATGATGGCTTTCAGTGTGTTTTATCCTGACCCACAACAAGAAATATATTTTATGTTAAGACCCAGCACACACATATATTTATAAATGAAACTGAAAAAGTGAAAACCTATTTGGGACTGAACGAGTAAAAATCAGCTCAGACAAACAGAAAAAACAGGCCAAGGTCACACCGCTGTTGTAAAATGGTACGGTGACCCCCTCTTTGAGCCAGGGCTGCTTTCTTACCAGTGACACCCCTAGACCAGCTTTGCAATTCCACCTGTTAACGGGGAGGTCCCAGCACTAAACCGCTCACCTCGTGTCAGCACCCATCCCTCGTTAATCCCTCTTCAGAGACAGCAACCGCTCCAGAACTGATCCTTGCTTCTTGTAGAAGCCTTCAGGATCCAGACCTGACCGGCCTGCTTCCTGCCTCCCTCTCATGGATGGAGGATGGGTGGGCACCCTGTGGCTCCACAGGTTTGTGTGGGCTGGCCCCTGGCTGAATAGGTCCTAACAAAAAGAGTTTCCTGAAACAATGCCTACCCTTACTACATGCTACTGAAGAAAATTTTTCTATTGCTTTAATTATAAGAGCATGGCAAAGTCTTACTGCAATCCTGCAAGAGAAAGAAAAGGGTCCTGGCGGTCCAATTCTAAGATTCCCTCTGAGAAGGGACATTTTACAGGAAATGAGAACTGTTAGCCACTGTTAGGCCGGAGTTCACTGCGCTTCTCTGACTGACAACAGCTGGGTGGGTGGGTAAGTAACTAATTTCCCAGAACAATTTTAATCCCATTAAAATTTATCTAAAAACTGTTTAAACATTTTGTCATGAATGTTATTTTTTTCCCCAGAAGGAGACTGAATTACATCAGCAGCTTTAAAATATTGAACAAAAGTGGGGAGGGTAATCACTCTGTGATTATCCCCTGTGCACATTAATAAATTTGGAAGAAAAAAAAGATTTGCCCCAGACCCCCAGGTTTAGGACTTTTTTTTTTTTTTGAGATGGTAGGGCATGGTGGCGGGAGTATTGCTATGTTGTGCAGGCTGGTCTTGAACTCCTGGCCTAAAGGGATCCTCCCACCTCAGCCTCTGGAATATGTAGGACTACAAGTAACTGCTACCTCGCCCAGCTCTATTTTTATTTTATTTTATTATTTATTTATTTAAAAAAATTTTTTGAGGCAGAGTGTCACTTTGTCACCCAGGCTAGAGTGCTGTGGCATCATCATAGCTCACTGCAACCTTGATCTCCTAGGTTCAAGCAACCCTCCTGCCTCAGTCTCCAGAGTAGCTGGGACTACAGGCATGCGCATGCCACCATGCCCAGCTAATTTTTAAATTTTTTGTAGAGATGGGGTCTTACTCTGTTGCCCAGGCTGGTCTCAAACTTCTGGCCTCAAGCGATCCACCTCAGACTCCCAAAGTGCTGGGATAACAGATGTGAGCTACCTTGCCCAGCCTGATTTTTATTTTACAGTGTGATATACTCTGAAATTTTCTGTTATATTTTGTCATTTTTAAAAAATTGCTAGTAATTATGCCCTAAATTGGGTTCATAATCTTCAGCTTGAAAATCCCTGTTCCAGAAAAGGGATGGGGGTGGGGTTGGTGGGGTTAGGGGAGGAGGGAGGGAGAGGGCTGGAGCTGAAAACAGCACCCACCCCCATTGGAGACTGGGCCTGCGCCCATCCAACTCCTGGGGCTGAAACTGTCCACTGTTTATACTTCCCAAATAAGGGTCCTAAAGGTTTGTATCAGTGTGATTTAGGTGTTTTTCAATCTCTTGGTGTGGCGGGATAGTCGTTTTAGATATTAATGTTTGCTTCTCTCTTCGCGCGGTGGGAGACTCAAAAGGCTGAGAGGTTTTCTTCCTCCTCAGCCACGAGGAGGCCGCGAGCCTCCTGCTCCCAAGGCAGCCTCGCAGCTTCTCCAGCAGTTTCTGTCTGAGCACTGGCTGAGCACAGAGGTTGCCAGATACTTAGAAGTTACAAAGGCCCAGGCCTTTGTTTGGGAGCAAAGGCCTGTTGTGTGCAGCTGTGGCTGTAGGAGCCAGAGGGCTGGAAGGGGTGAGGGGCTGGCCCAAGAGGGGAAGGGGTGCCTGCCAAAGCCCGGGGAGAGGAACAGAGTTTGGGGGATCCTCTCGTGGTAGAGACCCCAGGCCTGCTCCCACACAGCAATCCCCTGAGGTGGTGTGTGGTTGTGGGGGGTGGGGAGGCCTGAAGGCCAAGAACAGTAGTTGGGGGTTGTGTTACAGGGTCCACTGGAGAGGTAGAAACCCACAAGCTATTCAAATGGAGAGATTTACGATGATAATCAACTAGCCATAAAGTTAGGTAACCAGGTAAGCGAAAAGGTGAAAAAAGAATTTTCAGGTGACATAGAGGTAGCAACCACAAGAAGCAGCCTCCAAGCCTGGGGTTGGGGGACCAAAAGGAAACGCTGGACTCATTAAAACAGAGGCTTGAAG